CTACCGGCATCATCTAGAGATTTTAACATGTTATAACATTGCTTTGGATATCTATGTGATGGTATGGTAAACAAATTACACCAATATCGAATACAATTTATATAATATGTAGCACATAAAGGCAATCTACCACATTCACCAAGAACCATACATGTATTAGTAGTTCTACGTTCATATAAAATACGTTTACAAAATTTATTATGAATAGATTTTATTGTATCTACATATTCATAGCCCAAAATTTGAGATGCATAACAAAGTATCAGTTTGACCATGGAATCAAAAATCTTAAAAGAATCAACAACAGAAAAATAACCAAAAGGTCTTTGATAAGCATTTATGGCAAAGAGAGCTCTTTGCGCCCGAGTTACTAACTTAGAATGAGCGGATGACCATGACAAACTTGATGTAAGTAAGATACCCATGTACTTATACTGAGAGGTAATATTGATTTGTGTCCCACGATACGACCAGAGCTCATATCGACGAAGACGACCTCCATTCCGAAAAACCGTAATTTCAGTCTTATCCATATTTATTTCCATCCCAGTATCACAACAAAAGTTGTCAATAATATTTATTTGCTGTTGAAGCTTAAATGCAGTTTCGGTACACCCTGCTACATCGTCTGCGAACATCAAACAAAAAATATCTGGAATATCATTTGTGATAAAAATACCACTCTCACAATTTTCACGTAAAAGGACAGACAACTCATCTATAAAGAGATAAAAAATTGTCGAACTTGTTTTGTCCCCTTGGCGGGTGCCGATATTGCATTGACATTGTTATTGAGTTTGACACATGATTTTAAATCGGTATAAAGAGACTTGAGAGTATTCATAAATTGACCGTGAATTCCCTTCTTCTCTAAAGAAACAAATAGTCTATTGTGGTTAATTTTATCAAAAGCTTTGCGGAAATCGACGTAGATACAATAAAAACGACCACACTTTTTAGATAGATACTTCTGAACCATTGATTGTAAACAGAAAATATTATCAACAGCTGAATAACCCTTCCGAAAGCCTGCCTGGGATTCATCAATCTTATTATTTTCTTCAGCCCAATCGTATAATCGTTTATTAATGACACCCGAAAATATTTTATACATAGTATTTGTAATAGATATGCCCCTGTAATTTTCAGGAATGTTTCTTGGTCCAGACTTGTAAACAGGAGTTATAGCAGACGACCTCCAAGATAATGGAATATTACCAGTTAAAAATATATGATTAAACAATGCTAAAAATATTGGAGCTATATCATCCATAGTAGTCTTAAAAAATTCAGCCGGAATACCATCGATGCCACTACATTTACCAACAGACAAGTTTGCTATAGATCTGAGTACCTCATCTAAAGTAAATGGTTCATTAAGAACACTTGCAGAAGGGTCAATATAATTATCAGAAGGTTGATCAATAGCAACAGCATTTTCATCATAAAGAAGTCCTGCAAAGTATTGATACCACTCAGATGGGGAGATACTAATATCTAGAGCTCTTGAAGTTTTACCTCTCTTAAGAATTTTCCAAAAAGAACTTGGATCATTACTACTAGCAAGTAACATGTTTCTATTTGAAAATTGGTATTGCAAAAGCATAATCCGACAATAGTTCTTAAATTCATTGCGCTTATCTTTAAATATTCTGAGATCCAGCAGTGAATTAGATTCTCTAAATTTCCTTATCGCTCGATATTTAATATAGTTAAGATTGTCGCAAGTAGAATTCCACCATGGAGGTTGTAAAGAGAAACGTCCGCTCATATTTTTGACTAACATACACTGACCAGCTTCGTGGTATAATGAAGTAATTGCCTTAACACTGGTGTTAACATCATTACAAGCCGTATTACTCAAAGAATGAGATATATCTTGCAAAGTACTTTTAAAATTATCAATAAAACTTAGCATGTGAGACTGATTCCATTTATACCTTTTAATGGGAGTTAAAGTTTCAACGGCATTACCACGCATATTAAGCACAGGCTTTTTAATCAATGTTAATTCACATGATATGGGGAAATGATCCGAATCATCTCTATCTAAGACACAGAAATTTCTAATGTAAGGAAATAAATTTGAGGAGGCTATCATGTAGTCTACCAAACTAGCACCATCATTAGAAAAGCAGGTAAAATTGCCATCAATATCACCTTCAAACCTTCCATTCAATATATGAATATCGAATAAACAACATAGATTAACTAAAAACTTGCCATAGTTATTTCCTCGTATATTATCTTTACTGCGACGTGGAGTGTTAAAATAACTACCATCATAATCAACAGTACCAAAAATATGAAACAAATTATCATCAGGTATATAATGTAAAAAGTCTTTGCACCTACTATTTAAATCTCCAGCAATAAATAAAGACGTATTTGGGTGTTCAGTAAATATCGTTCTATGTTTGACTGCATTGAGAAAATACCATTTTTTGTTCTTTATCATCATAATAACATGAACCTTCTGGTGATATATATGTTAAATACAAATAATATATCTTCACAAGTAAACAATGAAGATAACTCAACATATGATACTACACAATTGTCATGACGAATAATATTTATTTATTACTTTTAATAAAAACGCTAACACCTCCGCTATTCCTTATGGAGTTCGATTGCATATTACGAACAAAGTCAAAATGTACATAACAATTAATAAAATTGTCAAATTCACCCTTAAATTTACTCCATGTTTCACAAAGGACTATAATATCATAATTACTTAAAAAAAACTTAATTTCTAAATTGTCAATAAATTTATAAAGACCGCAAACATTCCATGTGATAATATTTACATATTTAATGTAGACAATTCTTTTCGATATAATAGCGCATGGTTGGTCTCTGGTGTTTTCGATATCGAAACATTCGTTCCTAAAAACACAAACAACAGAAGTGGTGGTGGAATATGTATTTACAATAAAAAATGACATGACAAGTCATGATTTGTCAAACAAGACAAATAAAAGTTTACTTGTTGAGATATTATTGTTACGGAATAAACATGTTATTATTGATTAACAACCAAATCAGACCGATTTCTTTAATTGGTTTAGAATCAATTTTATCCAAACGTTCATTTGAAAATGAAAGCCAGTCTTTGCAGGCTCCCAACCTAGCACAAGCCAGGTACTGAAATGTAAGAGGAGCAGCGTCCGAATGTGTCTGTAAACAATAGATCCCACAGCTTGGTCGCCTAGTAAGGGAACTCCTCTATCACAGTTTGAATACCTAAAATTATATTTTGCGTGACAAATCATAAAGATAACCGGGTCACTGTGTAATAAAAAAAGAGCACCGAAACACGAGGTTATCTGATTTGTACGAGGGGCTTAGCCCCCGAGTATTAATCAGATTACCGAGTGTTTTGGTGTTCTTTCTCTTTTGTATCATAGTCAAACATAAAAACACGTTCCTTGTTGTTACAACATGAAACCCCGGCAAAAATGAACCAATGAACGAGCATCTAAATATGACATTTCTGTCGATTTCACTTTCACTGCCGTCACAATATGTAAACCCCATCAAAAATGAGCCAATCAATGGGCATGCTCTGGAGTGCGGGTAACTAATACCCGCACTCCAGTTAACGCACTGTGCATGTATATGTATACGAATTAACCCTGACACATTTTCAACAGAAAGGTCTCCAAACTATGATACAATTATATATACTGTGCTCCTCTTAGTTCACGGTACTTAACGATTTGAAACCAGAAAGAAAACAACAAATGAAACTTATGGTACAAAATTATCATAAGCTATAACATATAGGTATTTTCTACTGTATGAAACAGGAAAACAACAATATATTCGGTCAAAGTCAAATTTTAATGGACCAAACGTGGACCATATGTCGGCCATTTTGAAAACAGCAAGTCATCATTTAAATCGCGGTAATCGTGTTACATTTAAGTTTTTTTATGTTTCATTTAAAATTTATGTATGTTAATTTGCATGATTTTAAATATTAAATATATCCTTACTTTGTAACTCAAAATTCACTTTTTCAACAAACAAGAACATTTAGATAATGATGATTGTTTCAGACATACGCACAAATATTTAATAGACTATTATTGCTTTTTGCAGAAATTTGTAAAATGTTGTTCTGTTTTACATAAAAATCTAGAGATTTAAAACTTTGTTGCGTATTTTTGAGAGTCATATAATAACGATCAGAAAATTTATACAAAAGATTAAAAATATTGCCTTTCAAGAAAAGATGAATTTTTTACTCCGGTGTCCAAGTATATAAAGCACTGAATAATATGTCCCCTCAATATATCTGAGACTTACTTACCATATCAAATAATCAAAAGTATAATTTAAGATCGGTATCTCACGGAAATTTAATTTCGTCTTACAAACCACGTTCTAATTATTTTAATGACACATTCCATTTTAATGTCATGGTTATATGGAATTCCATACCACTGACAATAAGAAGAAAAACATAATTGTCAAAATTTAAGAATAGTTTCAAGAAATACTTATTTAATCAACTTAAGCACGCCCCGTGTGTATTATATATACAGAATACGCTCTAGCTTTATATTCATACATGTGTTTTTATTATTATGTTTTCTAATAATGGGTGTCTGTCTTAGTTTTAAGTTTTTGACTGTTAATTTTGTAAGTAATTTTTACTTTTTAAATTGCAGATTTAAATGATGCACTGATAAAAGTATTATGTTTAATGATAAATAAAATGAATTGTATGAATGTTCAGTATATTTGTTAAGATATATGATAACCATTTAATCATTTCCTTCACACGTGTTTTTTCTTTGACACGTGTTCTTTTATGTGTGTGTGTTTTTATTTTCAGAAGGCCGCATTGTAAATAAGATGTTGCAATCTGTATATGTCTTAATGTGTTACCTTCGGTAAATAAAGTTGTTATTATTATCATTATTATTATTGTGACGACCGGAGACCGTCTTTTAGTATGTCCCTTGACAGCTTTTAGACAATCGTACGGATATATAACGGCTTTAGACGATGTTTATACTATGAAAATAGAGGCCGATTCGGTCAAATATGGCAGAAAAACAAAAAGAACATGTGGATCCGCCGGATTCCAAAGCACAAACAAATGAACAAAAATATGTCCAAACATACCAGAAGAGGGAAAATGACGATTATGGATATTCTTTATTTCCAAACAGAAGTGCAGGAAAAGTACCAGAAGAAGAACAACCTGGACTGTTTAAAATTTTAAAAACTGGGGATTTTTGGTCTTATGCTACATATAGTCCTGCACATCATCAGAGATGCAGAACTTTAGTTAGATATTGTACAGATCATGGTAGGTTTATGATCATGGACATACAAATTTTAAATGAATTTAATGATTATGTGGATGGCATCACAGACACAGGTGGCAGTATCAGTGTTTGGACACCCCACCCCTATCTGCCCCTGGACCCCTACTACAACCCTGAAAAAAAATAATTCAACACTCTAAGGCTTACTATAAGGTACCAAATACAAAACCACCAATGAAATTATATATATAAAAAAAATTTTCCACTATCAAAATTATAGTTGTAGAAAGGTGAAAAGCCTACTATATCCTGTTTTCTCGTATTCTCGGGGGGTTAAGGACTAAACTTGGTTGCATAATATTTATAAAACATTCTGTTACAGTTTTTTTAGCCTGATACACAGAGAAATACCTTATTAACAAAATACAAAGAAAGAAAGATCGTAACTGTAAGCAAAACTAAAATATTTCTGCTTGTATATATACTGACCTTCACCCTCTATGTGAAGCAGGTGCTTTCTCGTATTCTCGTGGAATTTGATTGGTTGTTAAGGCTGGTCGCTATGTGATGATTTTATTCTACATACCAGTTCAAATCATTAGTGCCACACCTAATTAAGTGTTTAATGGCCTAACTCTGTAATTTTATTGTGTTTTAATAACAGCTTGGCAGGCCATATCAAACTTAAGGATCATATTGACGCCTCTTTGGTACCAAATGATTTTGATTGTTTCAAAAATAGTTTGAACTCCATTTAGTGTTGTTATTTACATAATCTCTCTAATATATATAAAGTTTACGTTTATTTATTAGTTACTTATTAGTTATATGAGCATTTAACAATGAAAACTACTGTTTTCCGTTGCAGTTGTCAAAAATGAAATGTGTTTAGGACAAACAATGTTTCATTATTGGTTTTTAATTGGAGTTCATATCTTTTTTATATTATCTATTCGTGGAACAAATATTTTGAGCTGTATTGTATAAATAGTAGTATGAGACCGTTATTTGAAGCGTCTTGCGTCAGAGACCCGCTACAGGTTTCTGCAACATGGGAAAAACTAGAAAACTGATGATTTTTGGGGGGGGGGAGGGAATTGATAAATTTAATTAAATTTTCTGGATTTTACGATTATTTCCACAGTTTTTTTTGTTTTTTTATCTGTTTTTGCTGCATTTCTTTTATTTTTTTAATGGAGATGAAATGCTCTGCTAAATAGACATGTTTTCGGATATCGACGGAAGTCGCGAGCGTCGCTTCCATCCGTTTTAATGATTCCACGAGAATACGAGAAACCCCGAGAATACGAGAAACAGGGATATGTTCATTTGCCAAACAATGTGGAACACGAGAAAAAGTCGTTTCGGCGACTGAGGCGCATTCCGTCGGGATTTCGCTGCATCATTCATTAATATCAATAAAAAGAACTAGAATTCCACAGCTTATCTAATTCAAGTCCAACGCATATCACTATCATTCCGATTCTTTCTGTTTCACGGTAGTTTTTGAATTGTCGTAGCCATTTTGCAGTCTGATACCTGGGTTTAAATACACGATCTGATTGGACGAGCCAAATTGGACGTCCAATCATATCGCGTAAAACACACAGGTATCAGAATCCAAAATGGCTACGACAAGTAAAAAAAACCGTGAAATAGAAAAAATCGATAGAATATTTATATTTGTTAGACTTGAATTAAGTAAGCTGTGGAATTCAAGTTCTTTTTTTTTGATGTAAATGAATGATGCAGCAAAATGCCTTCGGAATGCGCCTCAGTAGCCGAAACGACGATTTCCCGTGTTCCACATTGTTTGGCAAATGAACATATAGTAGGCTTTTCACCTTTCTATTACTATAATTTTGATAGTAAATATAGTAAATTTGCAATATTTTCCCCAAATAACAAAGAACAGACAAATTTTTGTGAAAATTTCCCCGCCTTCAATCTGCCACAGTTGTCGACCTTGCTTGTTCCATTGCAGTGAATGCTCTGTTTTGTATTATGGGCAACAAATGTTTGTAGCAACATGTTAACCTATGTGCAAATAAAATTTGATTAAAGAGCATCAAATATAGTTACGTTTTTGTAGTCTATTAAGAATTTTACTTCCCAATTGCTAGGCAGTTTTAAAGTCAATTGTATGCTTATTTACACTTTATATTTCCTTGGAAACTATTCTTCAATATTTAAAAAATAATAAACAAAGTTAATATTGTGTTTATTTTAGTACATATATGTTGAATGTCAAAAGAATAATTATTTGTGAACTATTACAGATGATCGAGTGAAGATGATGATGAGAGCTTTAAAGGCACATGGATGGTATGTATAATAAATGTAATTGAATGTAGGAACTTAAATCTTATACTGCTATGCTATTAGATTATGCCATTGCAAAATGTACGATACAGCTCATGTGATTTTTGCACTTTCCACTTTGTCACTGCAGACACTTAACAGCTAACAAAAAAATAACAGGGGACATTTTCGGATTCAAGTTTGTTAAGGCTGTTGAATTTTTTTTAAATATTACAACATTTTCTTATAAAGCGTGTGGTAGATTTTGACCATGCAGGAATGATTCTTTGTTGGTCCTCTACAAAAGTTCTATAAATGGTTTTAACTTAATTTTTATATGCCCGAAAGGGCATATTATGTTATACCCCCTGGCGTCCGTCTGTCTGTCTGTCCGTCCGTCCGCACCTCCGTCCGTTAGCAATTTGGTTTCCGGAGCATAACTTAAGTTCCATTTGGCCAACTATGTTCAAACTTCATAGGATGATTGCCCATATTGGGTAGAAGACCCCTATTGATTTTGGGGTCAAAAGGTCAAGGTCACTATGACCTTAAAACTGAGAACAGTTTCCAGAGCATAACTTAAGTTTCAAGTGACCCAAAATGTTCAAACTTCATAGGATGATTTTCCATATTAGGTAGAAGACCCCTATTGATTTTGGGGTCACAAGGTCAAAGGTCAAGGTCACTATGACCTTAAAACTGAAAACAGTTTCCGGAGCATAACTTAAGTTCCATTCGACCCACAATGCTCAAACTTCATAGGATGATTGCCCATATTTGGTAGAAGACCCCTATTGATTTTGGGGTCAAAAGGTCGAAAGTCAAGGTCACTATGACCTTAAAACTGAAAACAGTTTCCAGAGCATAACTTAAGTTCCAATTGACCCACAATGTTCAAACTTCATAGGATGATTGTCCATATTAGGTAGAAGACCCCTATTGATTTTGGGGTCACAAGGTCAAAGGTCAAGGTCACTATGACCTTAAAACTGAAAACAGTTTCTGGAGCATAACTTAAGTTCCATTCGACCCACAATGTTCAAACTTCATAGGATGATTGTCCATATTGGGTAAAAGACCCCTATTGATTTTGGGGTCACAAGGTCAAAGTCACTTTTACCTGGATACTGAAAACAGTTTCTGGAGCATAACTTAAGTTCCAATTGACCCACAATGTTCAAACTTCATAGGATGATTGTCCATGTGGGTAGAAGACCCCTATTGATTTTGGGGTCAAAAGGTCAAAGGTCAAGGTCACTATTACCTTGATACTGGAAACAGTTTCCGGAGCATAACTTAAGTTCCATTTGGCCCACAGTTTTCAAACTTCATAGGATGATTGTCCATATTGGGTAGCAGACCCCTAGTGATTTGGGGTCAAAAGGTCAGGGGTCAAGGTCACTATATCCTTAAAACTGAAAACAGTTTCTGGAGCATAACTTAAGTTCCATTTGGCCCACAATATTCAAACTTCATAGGATGATTGTCCATATTGGGCAAAAGACCCCTATTGATTTTGGGGTCACTAGGTCAAAGGTCAAGGTCACAATTACCTTAAAACCAAAAACAGTTTCCGGAGCATAACATAAGTTCCATTTTGCCCACAATATTCAAACTTCATAGGATGATTGTCCATATTGGGTAGAAGACCCCTATTGATTTTGGGGTCACAAGGTCAAAGTCACTTTTACCTTAATACTGAAAACAGTTTCTAGAGCATAATTAAAGTTCCAATTGGCCCACAATATTCAAACTTCTTGGGATGATTGTCCATATAAGGTAGAAGACCCCTATTGATTTTGGGGTCACAAAGTCAAAGGTTAAGGTCATTATTAATAACTTAAGTATTAATCAACCTACAGCTGTAAAATTTTATAGGATGAACAGCGAATTCCCATGTCTTACAAATGCTTCATCCTTACTAAAAAAAACACTTTCGGGCATATAATGCTCCGCCTAGCGGTGCTCTTGTTTATTCTTGTAATACTTAAATATAAATAAAATGGATGAAGTTGATATGTAATGATTTTGTAATTTCAGTCCTGTTGATGTGAACAGACATATCTATTGTGAGCCATGTAAACTGAAAATGAGTGGAGGTTTTGACTTCTTTAACAATCAGGTATTCATCACTAAACAAAAAGTTTTTGTAGTAGCATACAGGTGATAACTGAAATTGGCCAAAACTGAATTTTTCAATGGATTAAGTGCCCCAAACTGGATTTGTTTTATCAACTCCAATTTCAGCACTTTTGGTATATAGGACCCAGTAATTTGGCAAGTTAGACTTTGTTTCTTAGATGGCATTAAGAATGACATTCTTAACTTTGTTTCTGAAGAATACATGCCCTTCTTGTTTCTATTTGATTCAAGAAAACTTCTAGTTTAAATGTAAACAAAATCTCCTCAGATTGGACCACTTGTCTTGGAACAGATACCCTCAGTGGTTAAATTACTTCAGATCATTCATGCTAAATGACAAAAATACATGATTGGAAATTTTTTTGTAATGTGAAATAAGATAATATTGGAATTTCAGATGTGAAAGTCACTACTTTAAATTCAGAGTTCCTGATAATTTTTTTACATTGGGGGTAATTACCCCCACTTTTCAGAATGTGGGGGTAAATTTAGATATATCGAAAATCAAAAGGGTACAATTAATTTACTTACTTTTTTGTACAAAAATAAAATGATCCTTTGAAAATAGAATATATTTTAATGAAAATACATTAAAGATATTTATTTTGTATTAATTAAGCAGATATTCAGCATGATTTCACTTCAATTGAAAGGCCTTTACCATATTCTTATTTTTTTTTATATTGTTTACAACAAAATCGATGACAATACATAAACAGTAACGTTACAAATAATCACCAATCAATTGCCGATTTCTGCATGTTTATTGCACCTTCATTAGCCCATACATTGCCAGCTTTAAATTTATGACAAGTCAGATATTTCATTCGTACTTCAGTACCAGTTTATGAAATTTGAAGCCACGAATAACATTTTTGCCAATTTTCAAGTGTTGTGTTGCGATTCACAGTTATGTGTGCCCTTTTCATTTTAAATACACGATCTAAAATGTCTTCAACAAAAGGATTCACAATTGTTTTAGCGGGTAACTGAGTTGCGTTAAAAAAATTGTCAATTTTCCTCTGCTTTGGTTTGAAAGCAGCCATAATGTACGTCTTTATTACCAAACGCTTGCAATTATAAAGAAAATCAAGCCACACGTTTTACCAAGCGCCTACGCGATAAAGACATAATTTGACTGGTTTACAGAATGAAAATTAATTGGAAGTATTTTGGCGGGTATTAAACGGAAAAAGATACACAGTCAACTGTTAAAAGGAAATGGAATCAGCTGTTTCGAAAATGAAAGTACACACCAACTACGCTTCGATTTTTCATTCTATACGTATTTGATTTATAGCGTGTGTAAATGAACGCAACAAATTTGAAATATGGTGCGTATTTAGTTGCTTTTGAAGCGTAAAATGTGCCGATACGCACGTTATCTGGAAATCTGAAATTGTTCTTTTATTCTCACACCTTTATATTATGTATATGTAAACATACAAAACAGTTAAAGCAGCACACATCCAGAATATAACAAAATATCTACCATTCTCCATGTAAAGACATGCACTCTTATTCATGACATCATCAAATAATGATGTGAGATGTTCTTGTACATGTATTAAAATTCTTTGAAATTACATTGAAATGTTCATGTGCTTCTCATAACCAAACACATTTTATTTACAACGGAGTGTTTTTCTGATGATATTCCTACTTATTTATGATTCATATTTTCAAATTTTCGTTCAGATTCAAATATAGTCTGGCTACTGTTACATTATTAAAATATAATTTCACTGTCTACTGAAAGACATGAAATAAATAAATATTATATTGACAAAACAAGATTGACCATAAAAATTAAAGGTGCTGCTAAAAACCATGATTAAACAAAAGACTATGCGATTATGTACAACTATTATTTGTCACTTGTGTTGATCATACTGTTTACATCCTAGAAATATATTTATTTGCAGGTTGTTGTATGTCAGAATGTTATAAAGAACAGAGCAGCATGCTGTAATGTTCTATCACATGAGATGTTGCATGCCTTTGACCATTGTCGCGCAAAATTGGACATCAGTAATATTGAACATATGGCTTGCACAGAGGTATGTACCAATGCATCTTATTTTAATATGAGCCACGCCATGACAAAACTAAAATAGTGCGTTTGCGACCAGCATGGATCCAGACCAGCCTGCGCATCCGCGCAGTCTGATCAGGATCCATACTGTTTGCAACCAGTTTCTCTACTTGTTATAGGTTTTGGTAAGTGATGCATGGATCCTGATCAGACTGCGCGGATGCGCAGGCTGGTCTTGATCCATGCTGGTCGCAAATTATAATTAAAATTATATAAGGAGATAACCCGTAACTGCTTTAAAGTAACAATAATGCCTTTCCATATTAATTAATGCAAGCCTCTTTAGAAAAACGGAGATGCTAAGGCTGCAGAAAGTCAGCATATCCAAGTTACATTAATTGTTGCATACTAAATAAAGCTCTATAAATAAAGCAAAAGCCTCAAAAATGATGTAAAGATGGTCAACCGTTGTATATTATGTAAGTTTGGTTATCAGTCTGTTTGGCATGTAGCGCCACTTTTTGGTCTTCTAAAAAATCATATAAAGCATGCTTCAAGGGACAAAATTAGCCCCATCTTAACTGACAGGATTAAGTGACAACAAACTTATATTTATAAATTTTATTGTAAAGTTACATAATACATATATGTCAACTATTGTTAAGTTAATGAGTTTTCTCCCTTTTCTTTATTTAGGGAATAGGTCTAATATCTTATTTAAATACTTTTTAACTTCTTCAAGTAGAACATAAACATAATGAATTTAATGATCAGTTTTCAAAAGGTCATTTCACTTGATAAGCATTTTCATAATTTATGACCAGTTAAAATAAATGTATAGAGTTCCTGGCTGGACATTTCGTTTAGTGTTTTACAACATTTTGATACATTTTTGTGTCGCCTCTACGGAGTAGTGGCGACATATAGGGATCACTTCTCCGTCGTCTGTCTGTCCGTCCGTCTGTCTGTCTGTCCGTCCGTCCGTCACAAAACTTGTCCGGACTACCCCTCATAAACTACTGGTGCAATTTCATCCAAACTTTACAGGAATGATCAGTATCAAGTCTAGTTGTGCATATTGTCAGCATTTTCAGGTTCAATGATTTTTGTCAGAGTTATGGCCCTTTAATAATTTTTAATTTTAAAGTTTGTCCGGACTACTTCTCTTATACCACTAATGCAATTTCAATGAAACTTTACAGGATTGATCTGTAGCTCAAGTCCTTGCCCATATTGCAAGGGTTTTCCGGTTGAATGATTTTTGGCCGAGTTATGGCCTTTTGATAAAAAGGTGTTTTTTTCTGTGTGTTGCCAGATACACAAAAGCTTGTCCGGACTACTCCTCATAAACTACTGGTGCAATTTCATCCAAACTTTACAGGAATGATCAGTACCAAGTCTAGTTGTGCATATTGTCAGCATTTTCCGGTTCAATGATTTTTGTCAGAGTTATGGCCCTTTAATAATTTTTATTTTTAAAGTTTGTCCGGACTAGTTCTCTTATACCACTTATGCAATTTCAATGAAACTTTACAGGATTGATTTGTAGCTCAAGTCCTTGCGCATATTGCACGGGTTTTCCGGTTGAATGATTTTTGGCTGAGTTATGGCCATTTGATAAAAAGGTGTTTTTTTCTGTGTGTTGCCAGATATGCAAAAGCTTGTCCGGACTACTCCTCATAAGCTACTGGTGCAATTTAATCCAAACTTTACATGATTGATCAGTACCAAGTCTAGTTGTGCACTGTCCGTCTGTCACAAAATTTGTCCCAACATGAAATTGGCCATTATGAGGCGACACATGTGATTACTGATCGCTCTTGTCTTGTTTTTAAAGGTTCGAGCAGCTAATATGTTCCATTGCACATTAGTTAGTGCATTTGCAAATGGAGAGGCAAAACCATGGAACTATCTCAACAGACATGTGGTAAGTTTTATCTCAGCTATTTAAATTTTCCAGTAACCTCAGACTGCCTCTGTGGGGTAATATTTATAACAATTTCAAAAGCATATATTTTATTTTGAGAAATACAAAGGATGTCTATGGGTCTTATGATAAAAACAAAACAAAACATATGAAATGACTATATTTGCAGCAAACTAGATTTTACTTAATTAGTTACATAATTTGTAACCTTCAAACATATAGGGCAAGCTCCTTACTTACCTGTTCAGAGATCTGCCGAGGACGCGATTTTGCGCCATTGGCGCTAAAAAAATGAGAATGGCGCAGGAAAATCGGCAGCAAAGGGCCATGGGCGCATCTAAAATCTGTGCCAGACTTATAAGAAAACAAAACTGTCTGCTGGGTTATTTAGTCATCCAGTCAAAACTGGTACCAACAGCAACATGTTACCCATGCTCCTGTAATTACGCATATTCTTTAGTTTATCCATTCCCTATAGCTTTTGTCCATGTTATCTAACTTACCGCATTTCTTCTCATAATCCCTTTCCCACACAGATACTCATTTCAACTACCGTAAATTTAATCCAATAAAACAAACAAACAAATTATACAACTACTTAATATTTAAAATGATTATCGGTAACTGAAAAAAAAGTGTTGCTATTTTAAGAAATGCTGTAAGTTACAGTATAATCTGACAGGTGATCAACTTGATCAACCCTAAGGTCACTCAAGTTCACGCAAGTTTTGGCTGATGAAGTGTAAAAAAAGATGTATATTTCGTCATCAGAATGTTTGACAGGGTGATTAACCAATCAGAGAAACATTGTGCATGACTTTTTTCATGATCAAAAGGTCTGTCGGCAAATGTCTTTGATGTATGCTGTCTACACAGAGGCATACAAGGGGCAATAAAATTCGTCAATATACATTGGTAAGGGACATTTTGTGCAAAGTAGGAACAATTAAATGGATAATGCACAATATAAGACATTACAAGTAAGAACCAGCAATTATGTGAATAAATTTGCATATCAAATTTTTGAGCAGCCATTAAAAAAATATTTTCATTTTTGCCTGCAATTAATATAAGTTAGAAAGTTACCATGTAGGCATAATTTTTAATTATTGGTAAAGTACTGAATTATAAGTGAACCACTTGTCATAAAATATGATTTAAGTTTTATTACCGGGGAAATTCAATTACATGTATCTACAAACTTTTTAACAGTTATTTTGGTCAATGTTTACTTATTTTCCCAAGGCCCATACTTTGGTAAAAATGGCCCATCATTTTCAGACCAAGTGGGCCCAGGGCCCAGTACTTTCAAATTCTTGGCAGATCTCTGCCTGTTTCAGCTCACCTGGGCAGAAGGTGCTCATAACTGAGCTTTTGTGAATGGGATGGCAGTGTGTCTGCCGTTTGCAGTTATCTAAAATTTATTTAATCAGCATCTCCTAAATCACTTGATGGATTTTGACCAAACTTCACAGGAGTAATCCTTCGGCTGCCCTTCTCAATATATAAATGGTTCCACACTGATGCATAAGACGGTGATGAATGGGGGGGGATCCACACCCACTTTGTTTACATAATGACGTAATCATGTGTACACTTAAACAATAGAATGGGTGACACAAATGTTTTAATCCCGCCAAAAAAAAAAAAAAAAATGGATGCCTTATTAGATTTGAAAAAAAAATGGCCCTGAAAAACAATAGAAAGCTTAGCACACAAATTAACCCCGCCAAAAAAAAAAAAAATGGATGCCTTATTAGATTTAAATAAAAAATGGCGCACTGTTCTTCCATAACAAAAGAAAACGAAACATAATTGTAGGGGTCACATAAATATGGTCTAAAGTACACAATAGAAAAATGTTACCATAAAGGATTAACTAATTCGGTCAAAATATACAAAGGAAAACTATAATCAAATTATTGGTTTTAAACTATGAAAAGAAAATTAGGACAAAATATTATTAATAAGTCTAGACCAGCTGTGGTCAACTCATCTAATAAGCTACTTTAGTATCTAGTATTTCTTCTTCTTGATATTGTATTTTACTATCATCAGAAAAATGTAAAGTTTAATCAATTGTTTACATAATGACTTAAGAGTGTGTACTTTATAACAATAGAACAGGTAACACTCCAAAAAAGTCAATCTTATACATGTAAATGCAAAATTACATTTATTGTTTTCTTATAATATAATGAGGCCTGTTTTGTCATTTTTCCAAAAATTGACATGTCTTATTTTTGCACATGTTGACAAGAAACAAACCTATGCCACTTGTTTTGTATATAATTCTCTTCATTAAAGTTACTACGCATCACATCCAAGGCCAGCTATTCAACCTCTCATTGAAGGCAAGTACTTTCTCTGTGGTTCATACAATGCTTGATCTAATTAATTTACTGTGTATTTCTAAAGCAGTAAATTTGATAAAACTTGATAGTCAGGTGGGATACATACAAAACAAGTTACCTTTTATTTAGAATTCATACCCAATTATTGTTTTCTTATAATATAATGAGGCCTGTTTTGTCAATGGTTTCAACACCTACATGTATCTTTAGAACTCATTAGAGTAAAAACAAAACAATAATTGTCAATGAATAATCCTTAATAAGAAAATAAATCTTTCTTTACCAGCTAGTAAATCTTGCTTTTATCATATTTATGGTTTTAAACTCTTAACCAGACAATGTGGTTACCTGATAAAACAAACAATCCTTTAAGTATGTATGACCAGTATGACCCCAAATGTAACATATATTTCAACCAGGTAATAAATCCACAAAGGGACGCCTTTCTGTGTCGATGTTTCGGATCAGTTATGAACATTCATTTATTCAATGGAGAAATTTTAAATGATTTGATTTACCACTTTTAAGCGAGGATAGGAATTACAACCTAAAATTATATATATTGTACTGAAACTTTTTTTTATTCACATTCTTATTTTTTATATTTTGATCTAGCAAAGATTAAGCATTTTCTGCTGTTAATTGCCAGAACGAAGAAACCAATTAAATCTTACATTTCAACACTGAAGTGATAATGTCATCACCTTGGAATTTGTATAGCAATGAACCGTCAGATTTTTAACATCTGTGAAATTGATGTCAGCGCCAAGATAAACATTGGTCCTTTTTATGACTTGATAACAGAAAGAAACAATAATTAAAAGTTTTTATTTCATGTCAATAAGTAAGCCCTTTGTATACAGGTGTGTCCCTAAAATTACTCACTTCTTGTCCACCATTAAAAACGAGTTCTTCCTTATAGTTGCCACAGTATAACTATTTTCCTGACATGCTTGAAGTGGTAATATGGATTTTACTTAATATTCAAAAATATCATCAGAGCAAAACAGCTATTTGGTGATAGATTTTTATGTCACGTTTTCACATACCCTTGACTAGATTTCTCTCTCCAGATAACTTTTTTTGCATTTCAACTATATACACCCAGGCGCAACATGGATTAGTTGGACGATTTAAGAAAAGGATATACATAAATTTATAAACAAAATAAAACAAAGATCTAATAATACAGTTAATTTATTTATTACAGACTGCATTTACAAAAAGAAATATTTAAAATAAAACGCATTTGGCATATGATAAAAAAATGTTCCAATCATAATGTACCACACTAACATTTGTCCTTTTGTCTTTCCAAAATATGAATAAATAATATAAACTTTCACATGTCTTTAATAATTTGTTCATTTATTGATAAAATGTCAGTATTTATCACTACTAGTTTCTTTTTCACTGTCATCATCATCATCATCATCATAATCATCATCATCATCATCATCATCATCAAATGTTTCTTCAAGTTCTGGTAATGGGTACTTGTCCATAACACGTTCTAACATAAATTTTCTTTTTTTAACAGCATACTGTATAGCTTCATCAGTTTCGAAATTATCTTCCTCTCTCAATCTTTTAACAGTTCCCATGATCTTTTTATGTGTAGGATTGCGCTGAAGTGCATACATTTTTCCAATAAAAAGTAGAAGATTCATCGTCATTATCTTGTTCACTGTCATCGTCTTCTTCGTAATGATGAGATTTGGATCTATTAGGTCTCAACCGATCGAAAATGTTTCTATATAGATAAGGTTTACGATTTGGTTCCTCATCTGATGTATTTCCATCGCTGATATTATTTTCAGACATACTGTTCTTATGTTTGAGATGCGAATGCCTATTTAAATTGTACTTTTTATTGAATTTTTTATAACACAAAAGACATGTGAATACCATTATTTTAAGCGATCAAATGGCAAAATTAATGCCAATTCTCCTTTTTATACTCCCAACTAATTTATTTCGTTTCTCATTTTCTCGTTTTGCTTGCTAAGTGGCTCAATTGGGTGTTCATTAACTCATTTTGCTTGCTCAGTCGCTCATTTTATTTGCTCATTTGCTTATTTTGCTTGCTCATTTGCTCATTTGGTTGTTCTTTTGCTCATTTTGGTTGCTCATTTGCTCATTTTGGTTGCTCATTTGCTCATTTGGTTGCTCATTTGCTCATTTTGGTTGCTCATTTGCTCATTTTGGTTGCTCATTTGGTTGCTCATTTGCTCATTTTGGGTGCTCATTTGCTCATTTGGTTGCACATTTGCTCATTTTGTTTGCTAATTTGCTAATTTGGTTGCTCATTTGCTCATTTCACTTGCTCATTTTCTCATTTGGTTGCTCATCTGCTCATTTCATTTGCTCATTTGCTCTTTTTGGTTGCTCATTTGCTCATTTAATTGCTCATTTGCTCATTTTGGTTGCTCATTTGCTCATTTTACTTGCTCATTTGCTCTTTTTGGTTGCTCATTTGCTCATTTAACTTGCTCATTTAACTTGCTCACTTACTCATTTGGTTCCTCATTGCTCATTTTACTTGCACATTTGGTTTTCTCATTTGCTCGTTTTGGGTGCTCATTTGCTCCATTTGATTGCTCATTTACTCATTTTTCCTTGCTCAGTCGCTCATTTTAGTTGCTCATATGCTCATTTTGGTTGCTCATTTGCTCTTTTTGGAGTGTTACCTGTTCTATTGTTATAAAGTACACACTCTTAAGTCATTATGTAAACAATTGATTAAACTTTACATTTTTCTGATGATAGTAAAATACAATATCAAGAAGAAGAAATACTAGATACTAAAGTAGCTTATTAGATGAGTTGACCACAGCTGGTCTAGACTTATTAATAATATTTTTGTCCTAATTTTCTTTTCATAGTTTAAACCAATAATTTGATTATAGTTTTCCTTTGTATATTTTGACCGAATTAGTTAATCCTTTATGGTAACATTTTTCTATTGTGTACTTTAGACCATATTTATGTGACCCCTACAATTATGTTTCGTTTTCTTTTGTTATGGAAGAACAGTGCGCCATTTTTTATTCAAATCTAATAAGGCATCCATTTTTTTTTTTTGGCGGGATTAATTTGTGTGCTAAGCTTTCTATTGTTATTCAGCGCCATTTTTTATTCAAATCTAATAAGGCATCCATTTTTTTTTTTTGGCGGGATTAAAACATTTGTGTCACCCATTCTATTGTTAAAGTGTACACATGATTACGTCATTATGTAAACAAAGTGGGTGTGGATCCCCCCCCATTCATCAAGACGGTCAAACGAGCTAAACAAAGACTTCAAACATGAAATATTTAAAGTTCTGCCCAAAGCTTAAGTATTTGGCATGAAGCATCACCTTGTAGTCTCCTACAAAACTTACAAAATCGTTTCTTAAGGGTCAAAATTATTCCAATATTCTTGAACAGATTAGAATTTTACACATAAAGCATTGCCTAGTGGACGTTTACTTATTTTGTATAAATGTTGATAAATGGTCTCACTAGAAAATCTTATTTGTTATATCAAAATGTTCGACAAATTTTCCCAAAACCTAAATGGTACCAATAGTATATCAAACACTATTAAAATGTATTTAAATATGTTTTGGATACTAACTGTTTAATACATGTACTGGTATTATAACTGACAGTTTCTGAAACCTGCCCACACATATTTCTATATGTAATTTATATAGAATAATCTAGAAACATATGTAACACAGAAAATTTACAAAACAATCTTAACTTGATATAGTTTGTTTCTTTTTACCAGTATTTACTATCTGCATCACTCAAACAGGCAACTGATTTTTTTTTGTTTATATGACTATCGATTTTGGTTTAAACATTGTAACATATTTATTTAAGCTTGATTGCGAAACAAGTTCTTGCAACTTATATTAATCACTTTCGAGGAAAATATCAAAATTATAAAATCAGTTTACTTAAGCCTGTCTTTGCAAAAGCACTTGGGTAAGCGATTTTAAATCATCAAAACTAAAGTATTGAAATAAACCAACTATTGTTGTATTTTCAGAACTGTGTGAAGCGTAAAGCTATGACATCAATTATGGTAGTTAGAAATGTAACTGAACAAGAGGCAAGTGACGCTGTAGATAAAGTGTTTAATAGATGTTATAATGACCTTGAACCATTCGGTAGAAGGATAAGAAAAGGAACAGATGATGATGAAAAAAGTTTAAAGGAAGGAATTCTTTATGGATATATGGATAAAGAGCAATAGCTTTTATATTTTAACCTTTGATCTCATAAAGCAGAATGATACACCTACCAAATAAATATGTTATAAACACAATATTTATGTTTTAATTGTTATTGACTATGATTTTGATAGTTGTGAGGTTAGAATTATGGAAGTTATGGTTAAGTAATTGCTCATCATTTTAATAATGGACCTGGGAAAGAAAGATACACTTTACATAATTAGTCCCTGGAATGGACATATAATGGTTTTCTGTGTTCATGAGGTATGAAGAATTTGGATAGAAAAATTATTTTAACATTATGCTCATTTTAGCTTGTCTGTTTTGAAGAAAAGGTCAAGCTATTATGATCACTGCCACGTTATAGTTGTGCAAAATCTTTACTGTAGCCCATTATACAAACATTTTAAAAGGTATCATCATGAAACGTGGAATACTTGTTGATCATGACAAAGTGCAGTTGTTAGACATGCATTGATGTCAGTGTCATTTTTATGGCCCCGCCATAAAATTGCTGGGGCATATAGTGTTACCCTATTCCGTCATTCCGTCATCATCAGTTTCTGTTCATTATCTTAGTAACGGTTGCACACATCTAACTCAAATTTGAAATACGGATATATAATGAGAAAATACAGGTCAAGATTTAATTTGGTAATGGGCTGATGATCTTTGACAGAGTTATGCCCCTTGATGAAACTTCAGTTTCTGTTGATTATCTTCACAACATTTGTGCACATTCAACTCAAATTTGACATATGGATACGTCAAAGGATTGCACAGGTCAAGATGGTTCGATGATTTTGGCAAAGTTATGCCCCTTTCCATTTGAAAATAATTTGAAATTTTCAGTTTCCGTTTATTATCTCCCCAATGGTATTACACATGCAACTCAAATTTGACATATGGATACGTCAAAGGAATGTGCAGGTCAAGTTTGAATTTAGTCATGGTTTGATGAATTTTGGCAGAGTAATGCCCCTTTAACTTTAAAAAAAGGAAATTTTCAGTTTCAGTTCATTATCTCCTCTACAGTTGTACATATGCAACTCAAATTTGATATATGGATATGTCATAAGAATTCACTGGTCTACTTCGAATTTTGATAGCTGACAGAGTTATCCCTCTTGTTTAATAGATGTTATAATGACCTTGAACCATTCGGTAGAAGGATAAGAAAAGGAACAGATGATGATGAAAAAAGTTTAAAGGAAGGAATTCTTTATGGATATATGGACAAAGAGCAATAGCTTTTATATTTTAACCTTTGATCTCATAAAGCAGAATGATACACCTACCAAATAAATATGTTATAAACACAATATTTATGTTTTAATTGTTATTGACTATGATTTTGATAGTTGTGAGGTTAGAATTATGGAAGTTATGGTTAAGTAATTGCTCATCATTTTTAATAATGGACCTGGAAAGAAGATACACTTTACATAATTAGTCCCTGGAATGGACATATAATGGTTTTCTGTGTTCATGAGGTATGAAGAGAATTTGGATAGAAAAATTATTTTAACATTATGCTCATTTTAGCTTGTCTGTTTTGAAGAAAAAGGTTCAAGCTATTATGATCACTGCCACGTTATTAGTTTGCAAAATCTTTACTGTAGCCCATTATACAAACATTTTAAAAGGTATCATCATGAAACGTGGAATACTTGTTGATCATGACAAAGTTGCAGTTGTTAGACATGCATTGATGTCAGTGTCATTTTTATGGCCCCGCCATAAAATTGCTGGGGCATATAGTGTTACCCTATTCCGTCATTCCGTCATCATCAGTTTCTGTTCATTATCTTAGTAACGGTTGCACACATCTAACTCAAATTTGAAATACGGATATATAATGAGAAAATACAGGTCAAGATTTAATTTGGTAATGGGCTGATGATTTTTGGCAGAGTTATGCCCCTTGATGAATTTTTCAGTTTCCGTTCATTATTTCCCCAACATAACATTCAACTCAAATTTGACATATGGAAACGTCAAAGGAATGCGCAATGTGGTTCGATGATTTTTGGCAAAGTTATGCCCTTTCCATTTTGAAAATAATTTGAAATTTTCAGTTTCCGTTTATTATCTCCCCTATGGTATTACACATGCAACTCAAATTTGACATATGGATACGTCAAAGGAATGTGCAGGTCAAGTTTGAATTTAGTCATGGTTTGATGAATTTTGGCAGAGTAATGCCCCTTTAACTTTAAAAAAAGGAAATTTTCAGTTTCAGTTCATTATCTCCTCTACAGTTGTACATATGCAACTCAAATTTGATATATGGATATGTCATAAGAATTCACTGGTCTACTTCGAATTTTGATAGCTGACAGAGTTATCCCTCTTGAACTTTGAAAAAAATCAGAAACTTTTAGTTTCCTTTCATTATCTCCCCAATGTTGTTCACATTAAACTCAAATTTGACGTACATATACATCTTAGGAATAAGCAGTTCAAGTTTGATTTTGGCCGTGGTTCAATGATTTTGAACAAAGTTATCTCTTGAATGTTGGAGAAAAAAAATAATTTTCAGTTTCAGCACTCATACTTTTGTGGAAGTGTTTGTAATCATTATTTTGGCTAAAATATGAGAAAGGTTAACTCTGAATAGTTTCAGTGCCTTGAACTCTGTATAAAAATGGTTTGTGTTAACATTGAATAGTTTCAAGGGCTTTGAACTTAAAATGAAAAAATTAGTTGGTGCAAACAAATTAGGAACTAAATATTATAACATCTGAAATTTTGGCTGCATGCCGGGGTATCTGTGGCATGACGACACATTTCTAGTTTGTTTCAGTTTTTGCATGCAAGTTGGTATCTCCACAAATAATGAAGTTAATAAGTTGAATCTTCACATTCTTATTTGAGAGCATTAGAGATGGTCACTATCCAAGGCCTACATTTCTTACATCGATGTTAACAGAATTATGGCTCTTTTTTAACATGGAATATTATTCATTATCCAAACTTTTGTTTTACTATCAAACTCTGGGATTAGTTAAGCAAGCTGACCTTTTAACAGCTCTTGTTGAATTGTCAAGTTTAACTGAATTGGCTATATATTTCAAAAGATTTTAATGGTCATTGACCAATTATTGATAATTATACCCCCGCACAACAAAGTTGTAAGGGGGGTATACTGGAATCAGCTTGTCCGGCCGTCCGTCGGTTTTTTCTTGTCCGCCCAATAACTTGAGATTCCTTTGACCCTTAGTCTTCATATTTGGCATGGAGGTTAGTCGTGATTAGTAGATGACCCCTATTGATTTTTAGGTCAAAGGTCAAGGTCACAGGGGCCTTGACTTCAAAAAGCTTGTCCGCCCAATAACTTATGATTCCTTTGACCTACAGTCGTCATATTTGGCATGGAGGTTAGTCATTATTAGAAGATGACCCCTATTGATTTTGAGGTCACCAGGTCAAAGGTCAAGGTCACAGGGGCCTTGACTTCAAAAAGCTTGTCCGCCCAATAACTTAAGATTCCTTTGACCCACAGTCTTCATATTTGGCATGGAGGTTAGTCATGATAAGTAGATGACCCCTATTGATTTTGAGGTCACCAGGTCAAAGGTCAAGGTCACAGGGGCCTTGACTTCAAAAAGCTTGTCCGCCCAATAACTTAAGATTCCTTTGACCCACAGTCTTCATATTTGGCATGGAGGTCAGTCATGATGAGTAGATGACCTCTATTGATTTTGAGGTCACCAGGTCAAAGGTCAAGGTCACAGGGGCCTTGACTGCAAAAAGTTTGTCCGCCCAATTACTTAAGATTCCTTTGACCCACAGTCTTCATGTTTAGCATTGAGGTTAGTCATGATGAGTAGATTATCCCTATTGATTTTGAGGTCACCAGGTCAAAGGTCAAGGTCACAGTGGCCTTGACTTCAAAAAGCTTGTCCGCCAAAAACTTAAGATTCCTTTGACTCACAGTCTTCATATTTGGTAAGGAGGTAAGTCAAGATGAGTAGATGACTCCTATTGATTTTGAGGTCACCAGGTCAAAGGTCAAGGTGACAGGGGCCTTGACTTCAAAAAGCTTGTCCGCCAAATAACGTAAGATTCCTTTGACCCACAGTCTTCATATTTTGCATGGAAGCTAGTCATGATAAGTAGATGACCCCTATTGACTTTGAGGTCACCAGGTCAAAGGTCAAGGTCACAGGGGCTTGGACTTCAAAAAGCTTGTCCGCCCAATAACTTAAGATTCCTTTGACCCACAGTCTTCATATTTGGCATGGAGGTTAGTCATGATTAGTAGATGACCCCTATTGACTTTGAGGTCACCAGGTCAAAGGTCAAGGTCACAGGGGCCTTGACTTCAAAAAGCTTGTCCGCCCAATAACTTAAGATTCCTTTGACCCACAGTCTTCATATTTGGCATGGAGGTTAGTCATGATTAGTAGATGACCCCTATTGACTTTGAGGTCACCAGGTCAAAGGTCAAGGTCACAGGGGCCTTGACTTCAAAAAGCTTGTCCGCCCAATAACTTAAGATTCCTTTGATCCACAGTCTTCATATTTGGAATCGAGGTTAGTCATGATTAGTAGATTACCCCTAATGATTTTGAGGTTACCAGGTCAAAGGTCAAGGGCACAGGGACTTTGACTTCAAAAAGTTTGTCTGCCCAATAACTTTAGATTCCTTTGACCCACAGTCTTCATATTTGGCATGGATGTTGATCATGATTAGTAGATGACCCCTTTTGATTTTGAGGTCACTGGAGCAAAGGTCAAGGTCATAGAACTTTGACTTCAAAAAGTTTGTCCACCCATTAACTTATTACGATTCCTTTGACCCACAGTCTTCATATTTGGCATGGATGTTGATCATGACTCTAAGGTGACCCCTATTTATTTTGAGGTCACTGGGTCAAAGGTTCAAGGTCACAGGGACCTTTGAACAAAAAAAGCTTTTCTTCTCAATTGCTAAAGAATGTCCTGTCCGCAATGTATTGATTTTGACATTTTCACATTTGAAGCATGTAGAATACATAACTTAGCCATGCACTGGCTTAGTAACCTCAGATTTGGCAGGGAGGTTGTCCTTGAGCTCTAAATGGCCACTGTTGATTCTGACAAAGTGGT